ACATTACAGCCTTATTCTAAAATTGATTACGTTTTTTTCCTCATCAATCTACACACAATATCCCATAATGACAAAGCAAAAACCAGGTTTTTAGAAATGTTTGCAAATGTATAAAATAAAATGAAATCACATTTACATAAGTATTCAGACCCTTTACTCAGTACTTTATTGAAGCATCTTTGGCAGCGATTACTGCCTCGAGTCATCTTGTATATTACGCTACAAGCTTGGCACACATGTATTTTGAGTTTCTCCTGTTCTCTGCAGATCCTCTCAAGCTCTGTCAGGTTGGATGGGGATCGATGCTGCACAGTTATTTTCAGGTCTCTCCAGAGATCAGGTTCATGTCCGGGCTTTGGCTGGGCCACTCATGGACATTTAGAGACTTGTCCCAAAGCCACTCCTGCATTGTCTTGGCTGTGTGCTTAGGGTCGTTGTCCTGTTGGAAGGTGAACCTTCGCCCCAGTCTGACGTCCTGAGCGCTCTGCAGCAGATTTTCATCAAGGATCTCTCTGTACTTTGCTCCGTTCATCTTTCCCTCGATCCTGAATAGTCTCCCAGTCCCTGCCGCTGAAAAACAGCCCCACAGCATGATGCTGCCACCACCATGCTTCACCGTAGGGATGGTGCCAGGTTTCCTCCACGCTTGGCATTCAGGCCAGATTGGTAGAGTGCTGCAAGTTCAATCTTGTTTCTCATGGTTTGCCTTTTGGTAAACTCCAAGCGGGCTGTCATGTGCCTTTTACTGAGAAGTGGCTTCCGTCTGGCCACTCTACCATAAAGGCCTGATTGGTAGGGTGCTGCAGAGATGGTTGTCCTTCTGGAAGGTTCTCCCATCTTGGTCACCTTCCTGACAAGACTCTTCTCCCCCGATTCCTCAGTTTGGCCGGTTGGCCAGCTCTAGGAAGAGTCTTGGTGGTTCCAGACTTCTTCCATTTAAGAATGATATGGAGGCCACTGTGTTCTAGGGGACCTTCAATGCTGCAGAAATGTGTTGGTACCCTTCCCCAGATCCTGTCTCGGAGCTCTACCGACAATTCCTTCGACCTCATGGCTTGGTTTTTGCTCTGACATGCACTGTCAACTGTGGGACCTTTATATAGACAGGTGTGTGCCTTTCCAAATCATGTCCAATCAATTGAATTTACCACAGGTGGACTCCAATCAAGTTGTAGAATCATCTCAAGGATGATCAATGGAAACAGGATGCACCTGAGCTCAATTTTGAGTCTCATAGCAAAGGGTCTGAATACTTGTGTAAAATAAGGTATTTCTGTTTTTTAAATTTTTTATTTAATCCATTTTAGAATAAGGCTGTAACGTAACAAAATGTGGAAAAAGGGAAGGGGTCTGAATACTTTCCGAATGTACTGTATGTACTTCTTGTAACATTACTGCTTTATTGTTTCTCAATTGTCCTCCCCCAGTCCTTGGAGAGCACCAGGCGGATGCTACAGATGGCTGAGGAGGTGAGAAAGATTGTTATTGCTCTTACAAGTTATCTGAACTGTGGTCTTTGAGTTCCTAATGTGGTGCTGAACTGTGGTCTTCTCTTGTGTCCACAGAGCAGGCAGACTGGTGTCAACACCATTGAAATGCTAGACCAACAAGGGGGTGAGTCAGAGATACAGAGTTCACTACCATGTACCAGCTCTCTGGAACACCATCTTTTGTTAGAGGGCGATTCCACGGCAGGAAGGCCTGAAAATATTTTTGGTATCTCAGATTGTTCTGGTAATTCTCAAGTAGAAATTTAATTGGGAGCAAGGATTTATTATATTCTTTTTACATTTGTATCACAAACAATTTTGGGCCGTTTTAGGCACTTTTTAGACCTATACATTAGGGTTGGGAGTGAAATAATTCAAATTTAATTTGGAATTTAAATTCTTGAATTTCCTCATGAAGTGGAGAATTTGTTCAATTGAATTCGAATTTCAACAATCTTCAAGTTATTGAATTGGAATTAGACTGTTTGGACAATTGAATTGTAAAACGTTTAATATTTTATAATTGAATTGAATTTGAATTCAGTATTTTTACATTTCCCAGTTAATGGAATTAATGCACATAGTATCAAACATTGGCTGCAGGATTTGTTATAAATAATTTTAACTTGTATTTCTATATTTCCAGTATACACTGGGTATCATAAGAATTCACCCCCCTTTGATTAAAAAATAATTATAAATGCATTTAGTTGGGATTTCTTGTCATTGATCTACACAAAATACTCCATAATGTCATAGTGAAAATAAAATTCTACAAATGTTAACACATTTTATAAAAATAACATATAGTTGATCTAAAAGTATTCACCCCTTTTTGTTTAGGCAAGCCTAAAATAGTCCAGGAGTAAGGTTTGGCTTAACAAATCACATAATAAGTTACATGAAATAATTTTTGAATGACTAACCCTTCCTCTGTCCCCCATACATGCAACATCTGTACGGGCCCTCAGTCAAGTATTGAATTTCAAGCACAAATTCAACTACAGGCCTCCCTCTTTCGAAAGTCTCAAAGGAGGGCAGTGATTGGTAGAAGGGTAACAATACAAAATCTGACATTGAATATCTCTTTAAGCATGGTCAAGTTAATAATTATGCTGTGGATGATGTATTAAACCACCCAGACACATCAAAGATACAGTCGTCCTTCTGAACTGAGCTGCAGAACAGGAAGGAAACTGCTCAGGGGTGTCACCATGAGGCAGGCAATTGGCGATTTTAAAGAGAAAAAACTACTGAGAATGGATCAACAACATTGTAGTTGCTCCAGAATAATGACCTAAATGTGAAAAGAAGAATACACATATACAGAAAACATGGATCCTGTATGCAACAAAAGCACTAAAGTAATACTGCAAAGAAACACTGCAAAGGAATAAAATGTTTGTCCCAATTGCAAGGCCTTATGTTCTCTGATACATGTTTAAATATTGTACTATAAATTGTGCCTTCCTGTATTATATTTATGCTAAAATATGTATTCAATTCAACTGAGCCATTTACTCTGTTCGTCTTCTTATCTTGTATTATTTCTTATTGTTGTTGCATTGTCGAGAAGGAACCTGCAAGTAAGCATTTAATTGGACTAATAAAACTTGGAACTTCAAACTTCAAGTCCAACACAACGCATCACTTAGTAAATACTTGAAAATCTATGGCAAGACTTGAAAATTGCTGTCTAGCCATGATCCCCAACACCTTGAGTACGTCTACATGCACACTAATAATTCGATATTAAACTGATTATGGCAGTAGGCAGATTATGCAATAATCATGTAAACACCTTACTCTGCTTATCTTAATCAGCGCAAGGTCAAAATCGAAGTAAGCATATGCCGATTAAAACACCTGGTTTTCTGGGCAATCTTTCTAATTATTAGGACATGTAAACACCTTAATCGGCGTTCCAGCTGTGTATTTGATCTGAGCATGTGCTAGCACCAGCCAAGCGAGCCTTCCTCTTTAGCGTGAGTGAAGTGTGTTCAGAACAACTGAATGTATGCGTATTAGAAGTAATTTTCACATACAAACTTTATATGTCCAAACTCAGAATCAAATACTGTATGCTTCCCAAAAATAACATGTTCACTGTGGTAGAACGTTTATTTTGATTGCCGATTTTCTGCATTTATCAGAGTGTCCATCAGGTAGTCTGATTTTTAGATGTGTCCATGTAAGTAGGATTATTAGGGAAATCGTTCTTCTTGCAAAGCACGTAAACGTTTTAATCGAACTATTATATTAATCTGACTATCCACAAAAATTGCATTGTTGTGTGCATGTAACCGCACTCCTTGACAGAGCTTGAAGAATTTTGAAAAGAATAATGGGCAAATATTGCACAATCCAGGTGTGCAAAGCTCTTAGTTACCCAAGAAGACTCACAGCTGTAATCACTTTTTTTCTTCCATTTTGATATTATTTTGGTAGATCAATGACATCACAATTAAATAAATGTTAATCCCACTTTTAACGCAACAAAATGTGAACAAATCCAAGGGGTGGGGCAATACTTATGATACCCACTGTAGCTATGCTGTCTGAACAGTGACATGATAAGCCTGAGGGAATTGAATTCTAATTGGAATTTGTGGAATTGTTGGGGATAATATTGAATTGGGAATTTAATTATTGGAATGTACCTAAAATTGGAATTGACAGGAATTGTAATTATCTCTGAATTCAAAGACTAACCTAGAATTTGAATTGAATTAAATGGAATTTACAGGGAGAGAGAATTGAATTAGACTTGAACATAATTATAATAATTTGTACACTGCAAATTGACCACAACTAAGCCCAATAAGAAATTGTATTTAAAAATAACAATTTCATACCTTGATTACATTTAGACACAATCATGTATCTATTTATTTGTGGTAATACTTGGGAACATTTTCTAAACTAAACTCATTTTTAGCTTAATTCCTGGTGATTCTACAGTCTCTTTTTTTTAACCTAAAAACAAAAAATCCCTTTCGGGCCGCTTGTTGCCGACCCCTGGTATATTGTCCCAAAAACATGACTAAATCAAAAAGGTTACTTTTGAGATGGTCATATTAATATTAGTCATGTTGAATAAATTAATGTGAAAATGTGTATTTTCTAAATCTAGACATACTACATATTTTAGGGCACATTATGGAGTAGGTCTAAAAAGGGCCTAAAATGGTCACTTTCATCATGATTAAAAAAAAAAATGGGTTGTGATACAAATGTAAAAAGCATATCAAACATTCTTCCTCCCAATTAAGTTTCTATGTGAGAATTGCCAGAACAATCTGAGATACCAAAAATATTTCCATGCCTTCCTGTTGTGGAATCGCCCTAGAGAAGACATTGTCATTGATCATCAAAACATTTTTTTAAACCAAACCAGGTTTTCATTTAAGTAATTACATTTTTAAATGAATAGAGGTTAAATTAATCAATGAATATGTTTTTAATGTTGGATTTCCCTGAGCTGGATCTTGGATGTTTTGTCCTGTTTGTATGACAGAGCAACTGAAGCGTACGGAGGAGGGTATGGACCAGATCAACCAGGATATGAGACAGGCCGAGAAGAACCTGACTGACCTGTCCAAGTGCTGCGGCCTCTGTGTCTGCCCCTGTGACCGGTAACAAACTGTAACCTAACCTGGTCTCACTCACGTAAACACACAGTTAGTCTGAATTAAACTGACCTGTCCAAATGCTGCGGCCTCTGTCTGCCCCTGTGCAGCCTCTCATATGGCCAAACTATAATGCAATCGTAGCATATCCGTTTTTTCTCACTTCTGCCTGCTACACTGGAAATTAGTCATGTGTAGCTTTCTGTACTGTACTTTCTGTAATGATGACTCTCACAAAGATTAAAAAATGCTAGGAAACTATCTTCCCCTGATTGATTGGCGGACTGAATGACTTGGTTTATTGATTGATCTATTGTCCCTCAGGGTGACGTCCATAGAGCATGACTCTAAGTACAAGCGTACCTGGGGAATAGGTGATAGTAGCAGTGCAGGAGGAGGGGGAGTGGATGGCTCGGTGGTGTCCACTCAACCCTCAGGCATCCGTAACGGAGAGGCCAACCAGCAGCAGTCTATGGGGAGCTCTGGACCCTACATCAAGAGGTGGGTGAAGCCAGTCAACCGTACAACACACACCTAGTTACAAGCTATCAGCCGGTCCCAAGTCACTATTGCTCCCTTTGCCCTTTCAATGTTTGCAGATCTGTAAGGTTGGTGGATGCTCCATCACTGCATTGATTATACTTATCCAGACCCTTCAGATCTGGAAACACCGACGGGTTAGGGCTATCAAGCAAGAGCAAAAAGTCTCATGATAATGCGTATGAGATTAGTAGATATTTATGTAACGACGTGTCCCTTTCTCTCCCCCAGGATAACCAACGATGCTCGGGAGGATGAGATGGAGGAGAATCTGGACCAGGTGGGCAGCATCATAGGGAACCTGAAGAACATGGCCATGGACATGGGCTCTGAGATAGACAAGCAGAACAAACATATCGACCGCATCACAGAAAAGGTGGGTTGTCATTGTGGCTGGGCTGTGTTATCCATCCATACACTGCCTTACACTCCTAGGGCTTTATCATACCATGAGGCTCTCGTTCTATAGCTGTGTTTACACAGGCAGCCCAATTCTGATATTTTCTTCACTAATTGATCTTTTGACCAATCAGATCAGCTCTGAAAAAATCTGTGATTGATCAAAACACCAATTAGTGGAAAAATGATCAGAACTGGGCTGCCTGTGTAAATGCAGCCATAGATGCCACCAGTATGCTCTGACGAAGGTCTTTGTGAGCAAAAGTTTGCCATATGACAGATAGTTGCATTGATCTAAGTGGGAAGAGACTATTATCTTCTTCCTACACCTCATCTACCTTAGTCAGGTCTGTGGTATATTTCTCGAGTGTACCATGAGGCTGCCTAACATAGCGCTCTACTGTCAAGGAAGTCCTACTGTTTCACTAAGTTATAGAAATGTAGATGTGTTCATCCACCTCTCACCTGGTGTCTGTACTGTCTCTCTCTCTCAGGCGGACATGAACAAAGCACGTATCGATGAAGCCAACCAGCGAGCTAACAAGCTCATCAAGTAGACCTACCCGCTCTAGCTTCCAAATTATCCACTTTGAGTCTCTGCCTCAGCTTGCATGTGCACACATGTACATACTAGTGTTTGCATATACAATACATACAAATCAACCATAAAAAACCCATTGAACCAGCACCTACCACACGTGCCTTCTCTGTAATGATATATGTAAATATGCTCATACATGTGCGCACACACACTCTTATTGTGCCTTTTATGACTAGTTACAAGTCCTCGGCCCGGGTCCCCATCCCTACTATGTGACACGGTGAATCACTTCTCCAGGTGTTGTGAGATCTGTGCCCATCTTCATAAAGCGTCACAGAGTAGGAGTCCTAATGTAAGATAAGTTGTACAAGACGGGGGACCTGCTCCTAGATCAGCACTCCTACCCTGAAATGCTTTATGTATACGAGCCCTGATAATCTGTGCAGTGTGGCACAAATATGCCACAAATATGACCTGGAACACCACCATATTCACACTCATATGTGTCTGTCGCCACCCGGTGGTCTAATGGTGTCACAGCAGCTGTATCCACTTCAGGGTATGCAAGGGAAAGTTATATTAGACAATGCTTTAGATCAGGGGTGTCAAACTAATTTTGCCCCGGGGGCCGTATTTGGTCTTCAATGAGGTCCGGAGGGCAGCACTGAGAATTGGTTATATTTCTTCGCTGTCAAAATTAGCAAAAAATAGTCATATCTATTGTTTTTGGAATCTTCGATGCTCCCTGACTGTCTAGCTTTCGTTTCGGTGATTATTGGCGAGCTGGACATAGTCAAGAAACTGTATATATCCATTTTAATTTCTACACAGTTTCGATTTGGTTTTAGTGATTTTAAAGTAGATTGAGTTTGTCGCCCCCCCCCCAAATGGTTATTTATTACCAAATTCTTTATTTTTTTTATTTTTTTTAACTCAAACCACCCGTGGGGCGGATTGGACCCCCTCATCCGGCCGTATGTTTTACACCCCTGCTTTAAATCATGTAATTTTGTTCTTGGCTCTTGTAATTATTGGTATTGTATGTATCCAATTTGTTATTTTTTGAAATTATGTGCCTATTTAATTATTCGTATAAAGCAGAAATGACTTGTGAATAAAGTTAGCTTTTTTAACACCCACCCCCCCCATGTATCCCCTTTTAATGCAATGGTTGATCTATAAGTTCTATGCTGGAAGTCCCCTAGAATTTTTGCAATATCTCTTTGATCAAGAGTAACAACTAATATTAACCAAAGATCTTAGCATGGTTAGACTCACCTCTGCTAGCCTGAGTGTCAGTCTGTTTGTGCTATCATGCCAATGAGTAATGGAGTTGGTAACAGTACAAACAGATCTGGGACCAGGCTATACCTCTGCCACCAATGGATCAAGTGCTGTACTTCACCTCAATGTTATTTCACTCATTTTTATTTGAACTGCCTCGTTTTCACCTGAGAGGCCTTACTGCCTGTTTCTTGTAAAGGGTAAAGTGGCTGTGTTGTAACAGCCTTGTCCCCAAATGGCTCTTCTGCCTGTCAGTAACATACTCATCCAGAAATGTCCCATCAGTTTCTTTCCTTACTTGCATTATAAATATTTGTAAGAAAATGTCAAACAAAATGTTATGTTCTTCTGCATTCAGGTATACTCTTGGTCAGTTATTGATTTCATGCAGACTGAAATAAACTGTTATCCAAGGCTGTATTTAAACCGAAGTGACACTCAGACTTCAGAGATTGTCATAATATTAGTAGTTTATGCTAGATCTACTGCTACATTTATACTTCTGTCTTGATGCTGTTGGTTCAACACCAATGTGATAACACTCAAAAGGGTTACCAACTGTAATGTAAACTCAGCAACTGCCTCTTTCAGTTTGAAATGTTGAGGAACACAGCTTGTTCTGTCTGGATGATTGTTTAACATAGTAAAAGTGCCTTATTTCAGCAACAGATATTTGTTCTTTCTGTTTAAAGTAAATTGTTATATTTGTATAATTCATTAAACTCTTCAGTAAAACCTTGTTGAGCTTTGAATTTACTGTTGTGCCCTCAAGCAAGGCATTGCCTTAACCCTTATGGCTCCTGACCCTGCGGCTGACCCTGCTCTCCACCCAATGTTTTGTGTGTGTGTGTGTGTGTGTGTGCGTGTGTGTGTGTGTGTTGCCTGGGGGGGGGACATACAGTAACTCCAAACTGTCGGTTTATGAGTTTATTTTCAAGTTCACCTTAAAATGTATTGGACATTTTCTGTCAACATTTTGGGATATTTTACATAGCTTGTAGAGAGTAGAAAATGCTGATTTTAAAAAAACCACTACACAGAGGACTGGAAGATAAAGATGGTGAGTTAGTTTAGTATGTGGCTGGTAGATGTGAGGGGGAGGGGGGGGGGGGGGGCTGGAGGGACAGTACAGCCTGTACATTAAAAGGCAATGTGCAGCAGGTTTGAGGTCAGTTCCATTTAAAGAGCGACTGCCCCTTAAAAGCAACTTCTCGTTTTGAAAACGACCTATGTAGCATTGATATGAGTCAAACGTATTCTAGTGTCAAGATTGATTACAAAGTGACATGTAAATAGGTCAATTTGGTTTGGCATTCGATTTCGCACACCAGCTAGGTGAAGCTAAAGAAGTTGGCTGCATTTCTTAATGACCAAGCTGAAAAATTTGGCTAAAAAAAGAAGTTCAGCCCCCCTTTTAAGTTCAGGAAGAATGTGGATTTACAATTTTAGTTTTTCCTGAATTGTGTGCAGTTTCAGCAACCTACCACAAAGGAAGGGGGGTATACATGATGCAAAGGAAAAACAAACTACACAAAGTGTTGCACTGTCAGTACTCAGTAGTCAAATGTATTTGTATATTTTACTAGCATAAATGCAGTTCCATTATATAATGTACATGTATATATTAGGTATAGATTTGGGTGATTTAAAAGAAAATATTTGAGAATGGATTCCTGTTTAAAATATCTTAATTTAACTATTACCTATGTCATGAAAAAAATAAATTCTGAGGGTCGATTTCAAATGAAATCCTTTTTTTCTGGTTTTCCCGATTGCACATCATGGTCTCTACCCATCTTCAACGCTTCCTGTATTTTTTATTTCCATACATACATTCATTTTGACACATTCTTCCATTATGCATTTTCATACTGTGTGGGTTTTGGAAAAGCAGTTTAGACTTGATTGACCCACAATTTTATCCTCAACTTTTGACAAAGTTTTTCTGTCTCATAGACTATGTAATTGAAGGTGTTTGAGTGAAACCAAACAAGGTGTAATAGAAAGAATCAGTTGCATATGACTCTGCAGTCCAAAATAAAGGACAAATAGGGCAGGCCAAGTTGGTCTAGGTTGAAAGTGTAAGGCCTAGATTCAATCAGATCAAGTGTTTACCAGCGATAGCAGACACCTGCATAGAGGATGTTTCGGTGGTGTTGGAGGAAGAACTGCATTGGAGCCATCAAATCGGTGAGCAGCTGCTCTTGTGATCATTGTCAAGAAGCAACACCCGTCCTACTGGAGCTAGAAGTTCAGAACTAGAAAGCGTAGGCCTATATAGAAATAATTACGATCAAATGGAAAAACCATTCAACTAAATATTGAGGATTTCTTTCAACCTAATCAAGGTGTGGATTACATCTCACATTCCAGTGTTCGAACTTGTAAACAAGGCTGCATGGGATTTCTGTTAATGCGACTTCATGCAGCCAATGGCAATGTCCGTTTTAGGTATAATGTGGGGAGCCACTTGTGGATTGGACAGCTTTAACACAGTTCCACCACTTACACTGTCAAAACAACCGCTATGCGGATGTTAGCTAAAGCAGATCTGATTGAATAGAGCCATAAGAATATCACAACACTATAGCACCATGTTAAACAAAACAAAAAATCAAAATTCATGCATTTTTAGATATTTATGAATAGATATGAAATTCGAGATTCGATTCACAAGTGTTAGGCATAGGCTATTTCAAGTTCTCAGCAACAGAGATGGCCACAGTGCTATTCTGGTAGAAGTCATGATTGAAAGTGATCGAGTTGTTTTGTTTTAGGTAATATCACGACAATAACAAGATAATAACATTATCTTTCAATTGTGTTACTTTCATTATCTCAGCTAAAACAGTCTATAACTTCCAATTTCTGCAATGTTATTTGGCCTTCACAGTGCATAGGACAATTAGTTTGCATACTTGCAGTTGTACTTGCCGTGCATGCAGGTACTGTACTGTGCAGCACTGTACAATGTCTATCATTTAATTAGCTAAAATAGCATTTACAAAGCTCTTTAAAAAAAATTGCTACCATACCCAATCCTGTTGATTTTATGATATAAGAGCTCCAAATTCAAACAGCACAGTATAACAATTCACAACCATTTTATAGGAATATAAGGCAGATGAATCAACAAAAGTACTCTTACGAGTCATACTGTTTTGTAATACATATCATAGAGTTATCAAAGCATGCTTTTATCTAAAGTGAGGTTGGGATATAATTGTAAAGGAGAAAAATGATTTTTTTTTACAAACATTCTTTGGTTGAGTGTGAAAAGAGCATTCCTGTGCTTTTAATTAACTATTTAAATTTAGCATATATTGTCAAAGAGAAAACAAAAAGAGAAAGAAAAAGGTGGACCTTTGCGTTGATACACTGGCTTAAATACACGCAGCAGCGTGAGCATAGGTTTAAATCTAAAAACTACAATATCTCATCTATTTTAATGTAAAAAATTAAACATTTTAAGGTGATAAAAATCTAAGTCTTACTGATTGTACACTACAACTTATTATTCTGCCCAAGTGACCGCAATATAGTCAGGCAGTCCTCACTTCTTCTTTGCGAACCGACTGAATCCCTTCTTCTCCTTGTCTTTTTTGTCTTTCGCTGGCTCTGGGATGGTGACGGTGGTGGAGGAGGTAGGAGGGGGCAGGCTGCGGGCCCGGGCCCCTGCGGACCCTGAGGGTCCTGCCTCTTCCTGTGCCAGGGGCTTCACTGCCTTCTCCA